ATGACTCCATGGATCATACTGTTTGTACACTCACACCAGGAGAACAGGGATCTCAGCCAGAGGTGCAAGTGCTACACCTCTGTCCTACTGATTTCCCTGACTCTGGCTCAGCTTTTGGAAATTTTGAACAGAAATAGAGCCGCTGTTGCTCTACCAGGAGAAAAGTTAGGTCTCACTCCTCTTATTACACATATAATTCCCCTTGAACAAGGAACTACACCTATTTATGTACCAGCTTACCGTCTTCCCCATTCTCAGAGAGCAGAAGCCGATAGACTTGTAGAGGAAATGTTACAGAGTGATGTAATTGAGTCGAGTAATTCACCATGGAATGCTCCATTGATTCTTGTACCATAGCGATATGGGACTTGGAGACCTGTAATCGATTATCGGAAGCTTAACAGAGTAACAATACCTGATCGTTTCCCACTTCCAGTTCTAAATGATTTGTTGCAAAGTATTGGTCGGAACAAAGTATTCTCGACATTAGATTTGTTGCAGGGATTCTGGCAAATCCTCCTTGATGAGGAAAGTAAACAATTGACAGCCTTTAGTACTCCCAATGGTCATTTCATTTAAAAAAAATGCCGTTTGGTTTGTGGAGTAGTCCAATAACCTTTTCACGGCTCATGACGAATCTATTTCGTAGATTGATAGGTAGTACTCTTCTAGTTTACCTTGATGATCTCATAATCATGTCGCAAGATGTTCAGACTCATTTCCAGAACCTTGAGAAAGTACTTGCTAAGCTCATAGAAGCTAATTTAAAAATAAAGCTTGCGAAGTGTTCATTTTTAAAGAAGATTAATTTCCTCGGTCATACAGTTAGACCTTCAGGCAGTACTTTGAATGAATAAAAAATTATTGCTGCCCGTGATTTTCCAACGCCTCGTACCGCAGAAGCCATAATTACCAAGCAAGTAACTGACAAAAGATTAAACAATCCATGGCTCACAAGTGGCATTCTCAACTCAATCAACAAGAAACATGAATATGAAAAGAAAGTTAGGATTGGCCTAGTTTCAAAGGAAGTAGTTAAAAGGTACTCATCAATGCTTACCAGTATCATAAGAAAGGCAAAACTTGCATATTATGTGAATAGATTCAATGAAGCAAAAGGCAACATGAAAAGCACTTGGAAAACTATCTCTAGTATCCTAGGAACTAAACAACACTCACATAACCAAATAAAACTCTACAAGGATGGGGGTATACCGTCAACTGACTTAGAAATGGCAAATGAATTTAACAGTTTCTTTTCATCGGTTGGTGCTAATCTTGCCAGTAAAATCCCACAGACTCAGACACATATTAACACATATCTCTCAGGCAGCTATCCAAACTCTCTTCTCCTTTCACCAATCAGCCCGGCAGATGTTGTGTCCATCATACATTCTCTAAAAACCAAGGCAGGGAACATCAGTGAAATTCCGTCCATTGTGTACAAGAGAGCCTCCCATGCCCTTGCCCCACCCATAGCACTACTGTTCAACAAATCTATAGAGTATCACACCTTCCCTGATATCCTCAATAAAGCAAGAGTAACGCCAGTCCATAAAGGAGGCAATCCGGCGGACATAAACAATTATAGACCAATATCAAATCTACCCATTCTATCAAAAATATTTGAAAAAATTATTTACAAACAGCTCTATTCCTACCTCGTAAAATTCGACATACTCAGCCCCTGCCAGTTTGGCTTCCGGTCCCAAAAGAGCACCAATGATGCAATCATTAGTCTCCTTGACATTATCTACTCAGCCCTTGACAAAAATGAGTTTCCGATTGGACTCTTCATTGACCTATGAAAAGCCTTTGATACTGTTAATCACAACTACCTCTTACTTAAACTCCAGCATTATGGAATCCGAGGCCTTGCCCTTGACTACATCCGATCCTATCTTAGTGACAGACACCAATATGTAACCATCAATGATACAACTTCGTCCACTCTACCAATTACCGTTGGAGTGCCACAGGGCAGCATCTTAGGACCTCTTCTATTTCTTATATATATAAACGATCTGCCTAATGTCTCTAATATTCTCAAACCTATATTGTTTGCTGACGATACTACCCTTATCTACTCAAACCTCAACCCACATACACTAAATAATGTTGTGAATAATGAATTAAAAAAAGTCCACTTATGGATGTCAACGAACAAACTAACATTAAACATCGAAAAGACTTACTACATCTTATTTGGAAGCAAATCATCAAATGCAATTCAGCTACAGATAGACAACATTAACATCAGTAATAAAAATGATGGCAAGTTTCTTGGCCTATTCCTAGACAAGAGACTCAACTTCAGCACCCACATTCAACACATAACTAAGAAAGTCTCTAAGACAGTTGGTATACTCTCCAAAATCAGATATTATGTTCCTAACTCTGCTCTCCTCTCACTATATTATGCACTAATCTACCCCTATCTTAATTATGGTATCTGTGCATGGGGGTCTACCACTGCAAACCACCTTAAGCCCATCATCACACAGCAAAAATCTGCTATCAGAATAATAACTAACTCTGCTTTCAGACAACACTCAGCTCCCTTGTTTAAATCCCTAAACTTGCTAAATATTAACTCCCTCCACACATTCTCTTGAGTCAACTACATTTACAAAACCCTGTTCTTAAATGCAAACCATGCTCTGAAACTCTCCCTGGACAGATGTAATAGGACCCATTATCACCACACCAGAAATAAATATCTCTTTGATATCCCCAGGGTCAAACTTAATCTGTGTAAACACTCTATGCAAATTAAGGGACCTAGTCTATGGAACTCACTCCCTAGTGAATTGAAAAACTGTAAAACTTTTGCCTTATTTAAAAGCAAAACCAAAAAGTACCTAACTTCATCTATTTAGTTTCCTACACTGAGCTTTAAATTTGCTCTGTACCTAGTGTTACCCAATCTCCTAATTTTTATGTAATATCAAACAACCTTATCATTGTGTTCATTGCTGTCTTCTTTTATGTGCTAGCCATATGCTGTATTGTGACTACCAATTTTTGTCAACTACCATTCAAGCTGTCATTGCAATCAATCTTATATTGTTTCTGCTGTATTGTGCCTACCAATTTGTTGTCAACTACCATTTTAAGCTGTCATTGCAATCAATCATAGCTACCTATGTGCATTAATATACTGTACCTATAATTTTCTCTCATCTTTTTTTTTCATTCCATGTAATCTGTTATCATTTTTTTGTCTATAAATTTTGCAAATATTTACCTCCTTAAAATTTTCTTAGATTAAGGACCTGCCCGAAACGCTGCGCGTGCTAGTGGCTTTACAAGACTGTAATTACCATATTTGTATCCTCACATTCCTTATGTACATTCTTGTATATGCATAAATAAATAAATAAATAAATAAATAAATAAGACAATTCACGGGTCTTGTAGGATTTTATCGTTCATTTATTGCTGGATTCCCTATTATAGCCGCTTCACTTTACAAGTTGCAAAGAAAGGATGAACCCTTTGTTTGGGGAGAGGCCCAGGAACAGTCATTCCAAAAACTCAATGAGGCATTGATCTCGTCACCTGTCCTTAGGTACCCAGATATTTTTAAACCTTTTGTGCTGGTTACAGACGCTAGTGACATAGGCTTTGGTGCTGCATTATTTCAGACAGAAGGTCACAGAGATCAAGCAATAGCTTATGCGAGCCGTACATTATGTAAGGAAGAGAAAAATTATAGTGCAACAGAACGTGAAGCATTAGCAGTTGTATGAGTTCTTAAACATTTCAGGGATACAATTTATAATTACCCAGTTCATGTCCTTACAGATCACCAACCTTTAATTCCTTTGTTCAAGAATAAAAATCCCGTTGGAAAGTTTGCTACATATTTGCTCACAATTCAAGAGTTCAATTTCACATTTGGTTATATTCCAGGAGAGCAAAATATTGTTGCTGATGCATTTTCTTGACACGTAGCTGCGATTCAGTTAAATTATCCAGCATTAGACGCTACAGTAGTCAAGACAGAGCAGAGGCAAGACCCCAACTGGGCACCCATCATTAAGTTTAACTAAGTTTTTCACTATGTTCAAGTTTTTAACTAAGCAAGATAGTCGCCCGATTCATAAACCTCCAGTACCACTGAAAGAGTTAGTGATTTTAGACAATTTACTGTGTAGAGTAGTAAAGCAAGGGACAGCCCCGAGGAAGTGCTGTCAGTTAGTTGTTCCAGCTGTCTTGGTACCAACTGTGTTAAAGATTATCAATGATGCTCCTGCAAGTGCACATCCAGGAAAGGATCGTACACTCCAACAAGGTCGATTAAAGTATTTTTGGCAGAAAATGGCTAAGGAGATTCCTCATTATGTTGACAGATGTTTAACCTGCTTACAGCACAAGGGACATGTAGCAGGACTTAATGCAATTCATGTGTATCCAACGACTGAAGCTCCTTGGGAACAAGTATTGATGGATTTGTTGACAAATTTTGCGGAAACGGAAAAAGGGAACAAACACTTGCTTGTAATGGTTGATAATTTTTCATGATATTGCGAACTACTTCCTATCCCGAACAAAACAGCAGAAACTATAGCCAGTGCATTCCATGACCAAATAATTTGTAGATATAGTATGCCTTAAGTAATCCTTTCAAATAATGGTCCAGAATTCAGTAATAGTATTTTAACTAACTTGTGTGATTTATACAACATTAAAAAATTTAGTATTATGCCATATCACCCAGCAAGTAATGGATTAGCAGAGCGTACAAACAGGAAAGTGTTAGATGCCTTGAGAGTCATGTTGAATTTTTATAACAGTAATTGGGTGCGCCATAAATTCTTCCATTAATGTTTCTACAGGTGACACTCCTCACACTATTCTTTATGGTACAGATAAGAGCCTCCCTAATGAATTGACTAACGAATTGAGGTGTGGTGGGTGGAAACATGACAGGTGTGGTGGTGGGGAAGATAACAGGTGTGGTGGTGGTGGGGAAGATAACAGGTGTGTCCCCACAGGTGTTCGTGGTGTCGTCGATGGTGGGGCTGTTCTTCCTGCCGCTGGTGGTGCTGGTGGGCCTCTACTGGAGGATCGCCCGCCAGCTGCTCCTCGAGGACCAGCAGCTGTGTAGGGATAAGCCCAACCCACACCTCCAGGCCCGTAAACAGGTGTGTGGCTCCTTCCACTCTCACTCTCTCATTCCCACTCTCACACTCACTCTCACTCTCACACTCACACTCACACTCACTCACACTCACTCTCACTCTCACACTCACTCACACTCACTCTCACTCCCATATGCTGTAGCTGCCTTCTGGTCTCCTCTCTCTCTTTCCCTTCCTCATTACCTTACAGTTGTTGGGGTTGAAGTCAAGCAACCATTTGTTTGACCAGTGCTGGAGTTTGTCCAGGTCCTCCTGTACCTTCCTGCAGTTCTCATGTGTTCTCGCATTCCTCATCTGCTGGGGAGAGTGGCAGTTAAGGTGGTGCTTCTCCTGCTGCAGGTGGTGGTGATGCTGGGCACGGTGGTGGTCGTGTTCTTCATCTGTCTGCTGCCATACCGAATCTTCAGCCTATGGTTCATCTTCACCACCAAAGAATCAGAGCAGTCAATAGGTCAGGTAGGTTCCTGTACTCTTGTTAGTGGGTAACATCCACCTTGTTAGTAGGTGGAGGTTACGCTGCCTCTACGCTCTGGCTCAGAACGTGAAGGAGCCGGTGAGGTGGTGGTGGAGGTGTTGGAGTCTAAGACCTCGAAACTGTTGTGAGACTGAGGAAGGAGAGGGTGAGGAGAGGTGGAAGGCAACACATGAGCCTAAGACGTGCCAGAAAAAGAGGGAAGACGACGGACCTGGCGCCTAGCCTCAGAAAAAGACAAATGATCACGATGCTTCAAATTGAGGATGGCTTCCTCAAATTTGTAATGCACACATGCCCGGGAGAAGGCAGGGTGGGTGTCACCCCAATTGATGCAGAGAGTTTGGGAAGAAGAGCACTCCGTCTTAGAGTGACCTGCATCCCCACACAAGGGGCAGAGACACACCTCACTTGTGCCCCTGGAGGGACCATGCCCAAATCTCCACCACCTGCTGCAGAGGCGAGGAGAGGGGATGTGCTCCTGAAGGGAGCATCTGGCACCAGCAAGAGTGACAGAAGGTGGAAGGGACCGACCATCAAACGTGACCTTCACTACGTGAAGAGGCTGATGGCGACGACCACGACGGGGTCAGGTGAAGGTATCAATCTGGAGGATAGAATGGCCTTGGGCCTCACGGATATACTTAATATCCTCATGGCAGTCTTTCAGTTCCCTATCACCAGTTGCAACATGGTGTGCGAGGATAATTGTGCCAATGCTGGCATTTAACCGGACATTTTTGTAGGTCCTAACAGGGGGTCTCCCCAAAGCTGGACAACGAGGCTAAGCGGGCAGCTGCTGCCTGAGAAGGAGCAGCGACGACTCGCGTACCAGTATGTGTGGGGTTAAAAGTAACAGAGGCATCCACCGAATCAACTAGGTGTTTATGCAGGAATAAATCATCAGGACAGATTGAATAAATATGATTGATATCAAAATATTTAGTCCATGTAGCGGGACCAAACAAAACATGGAATATAGTAGAACTGGAAGGAATCCTGCACATGTGACTGTGGAGGGGTCGACACTGAGCACCCTCAGTAGGAGAGGGGGTAAAAGGTGCAGTTGTTACAATGAGAGAAGGAGCCACTCCAGGTATTGACGTGGTCACCACTGGGAGCTTGGGGTTCGACCCCGCTACAGAGGTGAGAGGGTGAGCAGAAAGGGGTAGTCGGGAAGGTCAGGGAAGTAGCTTGGTCTGGGCCTTATGTAGTAGGGACTACAGAGCCCGGCCTTCAATCACAGTCTGACTCGGGAGCCTGGTCGCCCACCCCACGAGTCTGAGAAGTTAAAAGAGGGTCAGACATTGGCATATAAGCGAAAAAGTAATAATTTCATTCACGAATAAGCCCCCATACCCACCATGGAGCCACAATTAGAGGATAGGACACCCGACAAGACGGGGCCCTCCTGAGGTGCATCGTGGGTATACGCCCCACAATCACCAGCTTAAGAACCGTAGGTCCGTCGAGATCACGTTCAGCAACGAAGGCGAGAATTGACAATAAAAGCGTCCCCCCCCCCCCCCCGCTCACAACGTTGAGTCCACAGTTCTACGGGTGAGAGAATGTGCCTCACCAAACACCCGGGCATCAAAACAGAAAATGTCCGAAAGAATAATCAAGAACGGTAAAACGTCTAGGAAAGACAATTAGAAAGGAGAAGAGGGGAAGGTAAATGAAACATAAGGAAGACGAAAAGACCTCCAGCAAAAGTAGTGAAGATGGCAGCAGGAGCATAAGGCTCCAAAAGGACAGAGGACCATCCCGTGGAGCATCACACCCCGGCAGCCGCCCACTAAGCCCCTTCACAGCGACACTGGAATCGAAAGGGAGGGGGGGGGGTGTTAGTGGGTAACATTCGTCCCTAGTTAGTAGATAACCTCCGCAATGTTAGTGGGTGACATAACCCCTAGTTAGTGGGCACCCTCCATACTTGTTAGTAGTTAATTAGTTAGTAGCTAATCTCCTGCTTAATAAAAAGTAACCACCCCAATGCTAGTGGGTACCCTGCCCCTGAGAGTGTACTGTGCCCCACAGGAGACGTACTACAACCTGCTCTACGCCTTCCGTGTGTTGGTCTACGTCAACTCTGCCATCAACCCGGTGCTGTACAACGTCACATCTTCCAAGTTCCGCGGCGCCTTCTTCAGGTAGGTCTGCCCACACTGCTGTGGGGGTCATCTGTCCACACTACTGTGGGGGTCATCTGCCCACACTACTGTGGGGGTCATCTGTCAACACACTACTGTGGGGGTCATCTGTCCACACTACTGTGGGGGTCATCTGCCCACACTACTGTGGGGGTCATCTGTCCACACACTACTGTGGGGGTCATCTGCCCACACTACTGTGAGGGTCATCTGTCCACACACTACTGTGGGGGTCATCTGCCCACACTGCTGTGGGGGTCATCTGCCCACACTACTGTGGGGGTCATCTGCCCACACACTGCTGTGGGGGTCATCTGCCCACACACTACTGTGGGGGTCATCTGCCCACACACTACTGTGGGGGTCATCTGCCAACACTACTGTGGGGGTCATCTGTCCACACACTACTGTGGGGGTCATCTGTCCACACACTACTGTGGGGGGTCATCTGTCCACACACTACTGTGGGGGTCATCTGTCCACACACTACTGTGGGGGTCATCTGTCCACACACTACTGTGGGGGTCATCTGCCCACACACTACTGTGGGGGTCATCTGCCCACACACTACTGTGGGGGTCATCTCTCCACACACTACTGTGGGGGTCATCTGCCCACACACTACTGTGGGGGTCATCTCTCCACACACTACTGTGGGGGTCATCTGCCCACACACTACTGTGGGGGTCATCTGCCCACACTACTGTGGGGGTCATCTGCCCACACTACTGTGGGGGTCATCTGCCCACACACTACTGTGGGGGTCATCTGCCCACACTACTGTGGGGGTCATCTGCCCACACTACTGTGGGGGTCATCTGCCCACACACACTACTGTGGGGGTCATCTGCCCACACTACTGTGGGGGTCATCTGCCCACACACTACTGTGGGGGTCATCTGCCCACACTACTGTGGGGGTCATCTGTCCACACTACTGTGGGGGTCATCTGCCCACACACTACTGTGGGGGTCATCTGTCCACACTACTGTGGGGGTCATCTGCCCACACACTACTGTGGGGGTCATCTGTCCACACTACTGTGGGGGTCATCTGCCCACACACTACTGTGGGGGTCATCTGCCCACACTACTGTGGGGGTCATCTGCCCACACACTACTGTGGGGGTCATCTGCCCACACTACTGTGGGGGTCATCTGTCCACACTACTGTGGGGGTCATCTGCCCACACACTACTGTGGGGGTCATCTGTCCACACACTACTGTGGGGGTCATCTGTCCACACTACTGTGGGGGTCATCTGCCCACACACTACTGTGGGGGTCATCTGCACACACACTACTGTGGGGGTCATCTGTCCACACTACTGTGGGGGTCATCTGCCCACACACACTACTGTGGGGGTCATCTGCCCACACACTACTGTGGGGGTCATCTGCCCACACACTACTGTGGGGGTCATCTGTCCACACACTACTGTGGGGGTCATCTGCCCACACACTACTGTGGGGGTCATCTGCCCACACACTACTGTGGGGGTCATCTGCCCACACTACTGTGGGGGTCATCTGCCCACACACTACTGTGGGGGTCATCTGCCCACACTACTGTGGGGGTCATCTGTCCACACACTACTGTGGGGGTCATCTGCCCACACACTACTGTGGGGGTCATCTGCCCACACACTACTGTGGGGGTCATCTGCCCACACACTACTGTGGGGGTCATCTCTCCACACACTACTGTGGGGGTCATCTGCCCACACACTACTGTGGGGGTCATCTGCCCACACACTACTGTGGGGGTCATCTGCCCACACTACTGTGGGGGTCATCTGTCCACACACTACTGTGGGGGTCATCTGCCCACACACTACTGTGGGGGTCATCTGCCCACACACTACTGTGGGGGTCATCTGCCCACACTACTGTGGGGGTCATCTGCCCACACACTACTGTGGGGGTCATCTGCCCACACACTACTGTGGGGGTCATCTGCCCACACTACTGTGGGGGTCATCTGTCCACACACTACTGTGGGGGTCATCTGCCCACACACTACTGTGGGGGTCATCTGCCCACACACTACTGTGGGGGTCATCTGCCCACACACTACTGTGGGGGTCATCTGCCCACACACTACTGTGGGGGTCATCTGCCCACACACTACTGTGGGGGTCATCTGCCCACACTACTGTGGGGGTCATCTGTCCACACACTACTGTGGGGGTCATCTGCCCACACACTACTGTGGGGGTCATCTGCCCACACACTACTGTGGGGGTCATCTGCCCACACACTACTGTGGGGGTCATCTCTCCACACACTACTGTGGGGGTCATCTGCCCACACACTACTGTGGGGGTCATCTGCCCACACACTACTGTGGGGGTCATCTGCCCACACTACTGTGGGGGTCATCTGTCCACACACTACTGTGGGGGTCATCTGCCCACACACTACTGTGGGGGTCATCTGCCCACACACTACTGTGGGGGTCATCTGCCCACACACTACTGTGGGGGTCATCTGCCCACACACTACTGTGGGGGTCATCTGCCCACACACTACTGTGGGGGTCATCTGTCCACACACTACTGTGGGGGTCATCTGCCCACACACTACTGTGGGGGTTTTCCTCCACAAACTCTCACCATAAACGCTAATTACACTTATTTTTTTAATTTAATAAATTTTGATATTAAAATTGTTATATATTGTGTAAAAAAATATACATAAATATATTAAAACTATATATAACATATTTAGCATATTTGATATTAGGATGATTGTTTCAGTAACTCCTTCCCTCGTAAGCTCATTGTATCATTCTTCAGTAATATCATCGGCACTTTTATAGTTGTTCATGATGGCAACATCTCCATGTTGCAATGATTGCACCATCATCAGTGTATCATTACGACATCTAGTGACAAAATTAAGAAATAATCTTGCTGGCAATGTGATGCATGGGTTTCGTTGCAGGTTGCTAGGCGTGGGTAGCGGGGAGCAGGTGTGGTGGTGGACGCCCCAAGCGGGGGTCAACACTGGCAGCAGCTCCTGCAGGAGCAGCAGCACCGCCACCAGCCTCACCAAGGCTCGTGCCCCCTGGAGGAGCCAGAGGCTGGTGGTCCGCTGTAGCTACACTTGTCTCCAGCGGGAGGGAGAGACGTGTCCGCTGGTACCCCAGCAGCCCGCTGCACCTGCCGTCTGGGGCACCGTCAACCCGGCCCAGCAGCCCTCCGGCAGCCCCTTCCTCGCTAGGTCCTCCTGCACCCGCGACGCTGTCAGGCAGATTGAAAGCTTCGTTTAACGAAGTAATTCAACGCCCTTGCTCTACTAGTTTTCCCCTGAAGGATTGTGTGCAAGTCTCCATACAGTCTGATCTCCTCACAATCAGAGCTCAAACGTCCGGCACTGTTGAGTTTGAAGCTGATCAGGCTTTAACAGAAGCAGATTCAGAATTCGCCAGAATTCATTTCGGCAGATTCATTTGCCAGAAATGACTGGCAAATGATTTTTTATATTAATAAATGCAAGAACCTGCATGTGGGGCGCCTCCACCACCACGATAATAACATTACATTACAGCAGGAGCGGACAGCAGCAGCAGCAGCAGCAGCAGCAGGAGCGGACAGCAGCAGCAGCAGCAGGAGCGGACAGCAGCAGCAGCAGCAGCAGCAGGAGCGGACAGCAGCAGCAGCAGCACCAGCAGCAGCAGCAGCCAGAGCAGTGAGCCCCACACCAGCGGTCCTGTGCACTGAGCAGGTTATCTTGATCACTGGCTGGCTTATATCACCTCCTGAGAGTGATCACATTGTTATCACCCACAATGTACCACCACTATTGCTCTAACTGTTTGTCATATAACTGGTGTGAACCTGAACCATAACTACATGCTCATTACTCTTATCAAGACTGTGTGTTAACTTGTATTGCTAAGACAAACAATAAAGTTTTTATGTACACTGCTCAACTTGTTCAACTTTTATGGATTAAAACTTAAAGTTTTCTCAGAAGAAAGCAAAAGCTTGGAGCTTTTCCTGCTCGCGTCCTCTCGGAAGTGGCGAAGCCTTAACTTGCCTCTTAGACTCCACTGACAGAACATGTGCATGTTTTCCACCTTTTGGTTCAGACGCAGAAAACTAATTTTCTGTTAAAATTAGAAAACTAATTTAAACTTTTCTCTCCGCGTGTTTTATTATGAACAACAAACAATTACTTCCCAGATATACATTATAGGACTTCCTATTTACAATTCTTATAAACAAAAGAGCATCTGCTCCAAACATGCAACACCTAACTTATATAGTATTTAATCCCATATAATACCTTAATCCCAACATTCCTCCCCTTTTAAACTCTATCCCAACAGGTTAAGTCTCTCAGGCGGTCGTATGACTCTTCCTGAGTGTCTCAACTGGGAGTCCTGACCTGTTACTTCTGGGAAACATTCTTCTAAATTACTCCTTGTAGAGTCCATAGGGTTAACTGTACTACCCGTCCTCTTAAAACTAACGTCACTTTTGGCTCGTATGCGCACTATGGCCCAATTTGGACGTAATTTGAAATGAAATCGACTCACAAAAGTGACGTTCTGTTCCGTTTTCTGTTTGAGTCGTCCGGCCCTCCTCGGACAGCTTAGAAGAGGAACTTTCAATTAACGTTTTTCATAACGTTTTGAAACTTTATGAGAATTTCCTGCCCACCTAACCTATCAGAGGACCCTTAACTTACTGTTGTTGAAAAAAAATCCCATTTATTTTCAATTCATTTTCATTTTCAAATTACGTCCATATTCGGCCATACGGACAAACGGCCAAAAGCGACGTTCTTTTTAAGAGGACAGACTGTATTCCCATTACCCTCTACTGCCCCTTGCTCTGCCTCCCGGTCTCCTGCAGGTGCTGCTATCCCTTCATTATCAGGATGGGTATCACTAGTTGCCCCCCCCCCCCCCACCTGAAGGGTCTTCAACATTCCCTGTGAACCTTGGCATGAGCTGATTGGTATGCCTTTTCCAATTAATGTTCCCAAAACTCTGCACTTGCACAGTGAAGTTCCTGCGGCCCAGGACCTCCCTAATCTTCCCTTCCACCCAGGGCTTTCCACTTCCAAAATTCCTTGCATATAATGCATCCCCCTCATTAAACAACAATTCTTCTCCCTGAGCCAACTGACTGGCCAAGCTAGTTACCGATTTCTCTTTATTGGGATCTGTCTTTACTGCTTCCATGTGCACTTTAAAGTGTCTATTAAACAGTAATTCAGAAGGAGATTTACCAGTGGTAGAATGAACAGTTTTCCTTTGATTATATAACAATCTACAAGCCTTGTATTAATAGTACCTTCCGTAAACCGCTTTAACCCTTCTTTCAAGGATCTCACTGCTCTCTCTGCTAGACCATTTGAAGAAGGATTATAGGGGGCAGGTGTTACGTGTTTAATACCGTTTGTTCTAAAAAAAAATCCTCCATTCCACAGAAACAAAATAAGGAGCATTGTCTGAGACAATTATATCTGGCAATCCAAAATTACAAAATGTTTTCCTTAGTAATTCACAAGTTACAGATGATGTGGTGGAATTACACACAGTAACATCCAGAAATTTGGTGTATGAATCCACCACCACCAGGTGATATTTATTATCCATAGGTCCCGCATAATCTACATGAAGTCTAGACCAGGGTTTTCCAGTGCATGGCCAAGAAAGTACTGGGGCCTGGGGTTTCTGATAATTCTTAAAGCAAATATGATAATTTTTTGTTACCTCAGCAATATCCTGGTCTATTTTTGGCCACCAAACCCAACTTTTAGCTTCTGCTTTCATAGCATTTATGCCATTATGGCCTACATGCAGCTGTTCCAAAATCTTACATCTCAGTTCCCCACGCACCACCACTCTATTCCTATACAAGAGTACATCCTGGTGAATACTAAGGTCAGCCTTCACTGCAGCATACTCTGACAATAACAAATTATCATTCCAACCATATTTGACATATTTCATCAACAGACTTAATTTAGGATCTCTACCAGTTGTCTTCCTGATAGTCTGGAATGAAATATCCTCAAAGGACATAGATTCCACCAGGTTAACATACTCCACTGGAATACTGGAATTTAATTCTTCTGTCACAGGCAATCTACTTAATGCACCAGCTACTACATTATCCTTGCCTGGCTTAAACTCTAAATCATACTCAAACTGAGAGAGTAGTAATGCCCATCTTTGAATTCTAGCATTGGCATTAACTGGAATCTGCTTACCTCTGCCAAACAGTCCTGGCAGGGGTTTATGATCTGTTCTAGCAAGAAATTTCCTCCCCGGCAGAAAATACCTCAGTTTTTTACAGCATATACCAAAGCTAAGGCTTCTTTATCTAACTGAGAATAATTCTGTTCTGCAGAAGATAATTTCTTGCTAGCAAAATATACTACTTTATCCTGACCATCTACTTCCTGTAATAATACACAACCCACTCAAAGCAGCACATGGTCAAAGGAGGAGCTAGATAGTAAACGAGAAGGTCTTATAATAATAATGAGAGAGATCATAGCGAGAGCGGATAACGATAGTTCACGACTGTTGATAATCGGCGACTTCAACTTGAAATCCATAGACTGGGAAGCATGTGAAGCTAAAACAGAAGATTTCTAGACCTGTAGATTTGTAGACCTCATCCTGGAAACATTCTTGTATCAACATGTTAAACAAGCTACGAGGATGAGGGAAGGGGACGTTCCCTCCATGCTGGAGTTGATATTTACCAGGAAGGAGGAAGAAATATTTGACATTCAGTACCTTCCTCCCTTGGGTAAAAGTGACCAAGTCTTTTTGGGAATAAAGTATGCAATGCGTTATAATCTGGAAGAAAATATGACGGTCGATGCAAATGAAAAACCTGACTTCAGGAGAGGACATTATGGCAACCTTAGAAATTTTTTTAGTGAGTATAATTGGACAGACTTGATGCTAGGCAAGGAAGTGAATGAGATGTATGTCAGGTTTTGTGAAATATATAATAAAGGCACAAAAAAATTTATACCAAAACAGAGAAGCAGAACTAGGAAACAGGATTGGTTCAACAGAAAGTGCGAGAGGGCCAGAGACCAAAAGACACAAAAATGGAATCAATACAGGAAGAGGCCGAAACCCCAAACATACCAGCGATACAAAGATGCGAGAAACAACTACACGGCAGTGAGGAGAGAGGCAGAAAGAAATTTTGAAAAAGCGATTGCAGACAAATGTAAAACAGAACCAGGTCTGTTCTATAAATTCATAAACAACAAATTGCAGGTAAAGGATAATATTCAGAGGTTGAAAATGGGAAATAGATTCACGGAAAATGAAAAGGAAATGTGTGAAACATTAAACGAAAAGTTCCAAAGTGTGTTTGTACAAAATGAAATCTTCAGAGAACCAGATACAATAAGAATTCCAGAGAACAACATAGAGCACATAGAGGTGTCTAGAGACGAAGTGGAAAAAATGCTCAAGGAGCTAAATAAGAACAAAGCAGTTGGTCCAGATGGCGTTTCACCATGGGTTCTGAGAGAATGTGCACCTGAGCTCAGCATTCCTCTTCAACTGATTTTTCAGGCATCCCTGTGTACAGGAATCGTAGCAGACGTGTGGAAAAAGGCTAACATAGTTCCAATCTACAAAAGTGGAAGCAGGGAAGACCCCCTTAATTATAGACCTGTATCATTGTCAAGTGTAATAGTCAAAATATTGGAAAAAATAATTAAAACTAAATGGGTAGAACACCTGGAGAGAAATGATATAATATCAGACAGACAGTATGGTTTTCGATCTGGAAGATCCTGTGGATCGAATTTACTCAGTTTCTATGATCGAGCAACAGAGATATTACAGGAAAGAGATGGTTGGGTTGACTGCATCTATCTGGACCTAAAAAAGGCTTTCGACAGAGTTCCACATAAGAGGTTGTTCTGGAAACGGGAAAATATTGGAGGGGTGACAGGTAAGCTTCTAACATGGATGAAAAATTTTCTGACTGATAGAAAAATGAGGGCTGTGATCAGAGGCAATGTATCGGACTGGAGAAATGTCACAAGTGGAGTACCACAGGGTTCAGTTCTTGCACCAGTGATGTTTATTGTCTACATAAATGATCTACCAGTTGGTATACAGAATTATATGAACATGTTTGCTGATGATGCTAAGATAATAGGAAGGATAAGAAACTTAGATGATTGTCATGCCCTTCAAGAAGACCTGGACAAAATAAGTACATGGAGCGCCACTTGGCAAATGGAATTTAATGTTAATACATGCCATGTTATGGAATGTGGAATAGGAGAACCCCAATGTGGGGTGGGAGAATGTGGAACCCCACACAACCTATATATTATGTGAGAGATCTTTAAAGAATTCTGATAAAGAAAGAGATCTAGGGGTGGTTCTAGATAGAAAACTATCACCTGAGGACCACATACAGAATATTGTGCGAGGAGCCTATGCCACGCTTTCTAACTTCAGAATTGCTTTTAAATACATGGATGGCGATATACTAAAGAAATTGTTCACGACTTTTGTTAGGCCAAAGCTAGAATATGCAGCTGTTGTGTGGTGCCCATATCTTAAGAAGCACATCAACAAACTGGAAAAGGTGCAAAGACATGCCACTAAGTGGCTCCCAGAACTGAAGGGCAAGAGCTACGAGGAGAGGTTAGAGGCATTAAATATGCCAAAACTAGAAGACAAGAAAAAGAGGTGATATGATCACTACATACAAAATAGTAACAGGAATTGATAAAATCGATAGGGAAGATTTCCTGAGACCTGGAACTTTAAGAACAAGAGGTCATAGATATAAACTAGCTAAACACAGACGCCGAAGAAATATAAGAAAATTCACCTTCGCAAATAGAGTGGTAGACGGTTGGAACAAGTTAGGGGAGAAGGTGGTGGAGGCCAAGACCGTCAGTAGTTTCAAAGCGTTATATGACAAAGAGTGCTGGGGAGACGGGACACCACGAGCGTAGCTCTCATCCTGTAACTACACTTAGGTAATTACACTTAGGTAATTACTCCTACTAGGGAAGCATCTACCTCCAGTTTTAACAGGAGTCTACCTGTAAAATTAGGGAGTACTGGAGAATTGATCAATTCCTGCTTAATATTCCGGAAGCACTTGCCCACTTAAATCTAGCCCCTTTTTTCAACAATTCATACAAGGGCGCTAATTTTGTTGAAAAGTTCTTCACGAACTTACAAAAATATGTAACCATCCCAACAAAAGACTGTACTTTCCCCACTGATGTTGGGGCTGCGGCGTCCACTATAGCAGCTACATTTTTGTGAGGAGTAAAGCCCTTACCTGAAGTATGGTACCCCAGGTATTCAATGGCCTTTGTCTTCAACGTTGTTTTTCCCTTATTAATCTTCACATTGTGCTTTTGCAAAAGATTCAAAACTTGTTCTAATCTAGCATCATGCACTTCCTCATTCTCCCCACATACAATAATGTCATCTAAAAAGCTAGCCACACCTTCAATGTTAACTAACAACTGGGACATGAATCTCTGAAAAATTGCTGGAGACGAGGAGAGTCCAAAAGGAAGTCTTTTATACTTAAATAACTCCTTGTGGGTATTAATCACTAACAATTTCTGGCTCTCCTCCTCTACCGGAATTTGCAAGTAAGCATCTTTCAGGTCAATCTTAGAAAAAATTGCTCCCTTGCAGACCACTGACAACAACTCATCTATCTTAGGTAAAGGGTACTTCTCACAGTGTATGCGGTTGTTCAGTTCCTTGAAGTCTGCACAGATTCTCAAGGATTTCCGATCTGCCTTCAACACTGGTACAATTGGGGCTGCCCTCTCACTATGTGTAATTGGCTCTAAGATGCCTTCTGCTACATGCTTTTCCAGGGCTGATTCTACCAATTGCTTGTAATGAAACGGCACTGTTCTTGCCTTGAAAAATTTAGGTGAAGCCCCACTTTTCAGGTGAATTTTTGCCACCATGTTATTAATTGGCTTATCTGCCTCCACTGAATATTTATCCAGCATATCTTCGGCACTTTTAATTGTTTTAACTATCGACAACTCATCTAGGATCGCTAAGAAAATTCCCACCTTTTCCGTGAGATCCTTACCACATAGACTAAGATTATGTGAATCCACTACATTAAAATTCTGGAAAGTTTCTTTCCTATTATAGACTTCTTTCGCTGACACCTTGCCATAGACCTTACTTGGTATATTATCATATGCACTTAATGATTTTTTACCTGATTTTACATTCAATTGCAAGGTATCTGCCCAATCTCTAGACAATGTTGACACTGCAGCACCAGTGTCCAGTTCCAAGGGAACTAACTTCCCATTAATTACAAAATTCACCACTTGCGACTTCACTGAACATACCTTTTCTTTCACCGAATATAGTCGGTCTTCCTCACCTGCAGCTTCTTCAGACTGGTTACCTTCCTCTACTGCCTTGACCACAGTACCACTACCTCTTCTTCCTGCATTCCCTGGTCGTCTCCTCTCCCAGGCCTTGTTGTTCCTGTTCACATATTCCCTACACACTCTCTGCAAGTGTCCCTCCTTGTTACAAAAGTTGCATATATAGGCACGAAACTTGCACTTGATACTACAGTGATTGTACCCACAGTGTTTACATCTTGCCTGGCCCTGTACGACCATAATTTCTTGAGAAGTAGATTTCTTACCTCCAAAAGCACTCTCCAGATTCAAAATCTTCTCGAGCACTGTCTATGAAGTCATCGATTGTAGATCTATGTTTTCTGTCACCAGGTTAGGGGAAAATGTCTCATTGTCTACTGTCATGAACAACTGGTCCCTCACCCGCCCGTCAAACTGTGCTCCAAAGTTGCAGTAGTTAGCCAACGTCTTCAATTCCGCATATAAATCCTGTAAGGATTCCTGCTGCTTTTTCGTCCTCTTCTGGAAATCCATAAAACTCCTGTGACATGAAGGTTTCACTACATAATGACGTTTAAGCAAGGTACTCAGGTCTTCGTGTGGGGTAGCTCTGGTGCAGACAAGTTACCCAGAACATTATATACTTCAGAACCCCGTCAAACTAAGAGTACCGCTTTCTTGTTGGCGTCCTCCTTAATCTCACGGTACTGGAAATTTGCTCCCAGCAGGCTGAGCCACAGGTCCAACGAGATCTTGGTAGCATCAAACGGCTCCATTGAGATGAGTGCTGGGGCAGCCATGACCATGGTGGGCTGCACAACTCACTGTTCTCTGAAATCCCTCGACCCGTCCGCACGCCTTACCCTGCTCTCTCCTGATCCTCACACCTCGTCTGGTACCCGGGCTGTCTGCCTTAGGTGTTAGTAATCCTCGACGCCACTGTTATGTTTGGGCTGGAAGAGAAACAAACTTTTCTCTCCGCATACTTTATTATAAACAACCACAAACAATCACGTCCCAGATATACGTTACATGACTTCCTATTTACAGTTCTTATAAACAAAAGAGCATCTGCTCAAAACATGCAACACCTAACTTGTGTAGTATTTAATCCCCCCTAATACCTTAATCCTAACAAATAATATTCCTGATTATTCCACTATCTTCCGAATATTTCTGTCCGAGACACTTTTGGCCAACAGAATGAAGGGGAGGATGTAAGTAAGCAATTATCAAAAGAAGGCACCAAGCCGGGAAGGCTATGTAGCACCATCAAATGTGCGGGACAATCAGAGGGCGCTAAATATCACCAAGGATACCAATACGAGAACAGAAACTCATCAGGCGAACAACATCAAACGTATCCGAGTCCTCAAGAATTCTATCGAGGGACAAGTGACCGCGAGGGACGGTCGGGAAGCAAGACACACGCTCGTCCTGGAAGTCAAGACATTCAACAAGGATATGCACGACTGTAAGAGAGACAATGCAGTTAGGACAATAAGGAACAGACGCTCCATTAAGTGTCCATGAGTTAAGCGCGTATGGCCAATACGCAACCTCGACAGAGCCGTTTCCCACCGCCGGTTACGGTGGTAGGAGGAAGGCCACGGGAGATACACTACTCTTAAGATATTGAAAATTTTGTTATTATTGGACTGCCAAGTATAATTCTGAGGGCTATATTTTGCATTTTTTCGAGTCTATCAATACTTACGCCATGATGCATGACTAAAGCTAGTGCATGATAGTCTATCAGAGAGCTTATATATGCCAAGTACATCATTTCTGCTCTTGTAATATTAACACAGTACTTAGAGTTGCACCCCACTATAGTTCTGAGAGCCTTGAGTCTCTCTACATTGTTGATGTAACATTTTGACTTTGCAGTACAAGGGACCGAGACATCTAGCTATATGTTAGAGCATACATAGTCTATTGGTATGTTAATAATGTTTAACATACCAACCACTTTAACGCGCCCAACCATTTCTGTACCGCCTGGGATTCGAACCTGGAATTCTCGATTGTGAATAGAGAAGAAACCCGACAGTACTATCGAGAGCCTGCACTTCACTCATGCACTCTAGTACACGGCTGAACTACAGTTCCCCGAGGAGGAAGTAACCATCCGCGTCCACAGTGTCGTCGACAGTTTCATATATGTCAGACGACCTGCTCAGGCCTACAGACACACTGCTCGTCGCCTGCACCTTGATGTTGCTGGTCGTGTTGCTGGTCGTGTTGCTGGTCGTGTTGCTGGTCGTGTTGGGCTGTGTCTGGCGGCGGGAGGCGGAGTGGCGCCGCGACGCATCAATGGAGCTCCGGCCGGACAGTCTCGCCGGTGACCAGGAACACGAGGGCTCAACCTGGTGAGAGATCTGACCCAAGATAATATTCTGCTGCTTCAAGATCGTCACCTCGATGGGACTGACATCTTTAGCCTTGACGTACTCGGCTTGGACGTCAATCGGAGCGTCAACGGACGGCTCGACGCTGTCATTCTCCGGCGACACCAGAGTATTGGGAGGACGAGGAGGAGGATGAGGCCAGGTCTTGCCGGTGCTGTAGATGGACGACGCGGCGAGGGGCCCAGTGTGGCCTTCAGGGCCCCCTTCAGGGCCCCCTTCAGGGCCCCCCTCACCCTCACAGCCGGCGTGGCGACGCCTCCACAACACATAACCCTGCAACAGTCAACACTTAATATGGCCAGTTGATGACCTTATTATATGCTGTCATACGCTAGCTGGCACAGTAGGTAAATATTAGACACCTTCCTCAACAAGCAAGGTGGGGGGGGGGGGGGGTAACTAGCAGGGTACAGAAGGTGGGGGTAACTAGGGATACAGAAGGTGGGGGTAACTAGCAGGGTACAGGGGAGGTGTAGAGCAGGAGTGACTTACAGATAGAGCCGTAGAGTGCCTGAGGAGAGAGAGCAGTAGCGCCACACACCACCACCACCAACACTGCCAGCACCGCCACCAACACTGTCACAACACAAAATAACACATCAGAATCATCATATAACCGCAAACAACAAGGTTGTACACAGCAAATCTAAATGTTAAAAATACTTATTTAGAAGGATTTATTCACTGTTGTCCCCTCGATCATACATAAACTATACAGCCATAAATATACACAGCTTCTCCATGTATACAGTTTACTTTAGTCCTGGTGACTTACAGGATAATGTTGAGGACTAAAGTGTACTTGTAGACTAGTTAGTATAGGCTGTTGTGGCGGCCTTAACAACCCTCCCGTATAACATGGAACGAAAAGGCAATGTAAAGGACCTGGGTGTACTCATGTCGGAAGACCTTACCTTTAAAGAACACAATAAAGTAGCCGTCACAACTGCAAGAAAAATGACAGGTTGGATAACAAGAACTTTTCACACTAGAGATGCTATACCGATGATGATACTTTTCAAAACGCTTGTGCTCTCTAGAGTGGAGTACTGCTGCACAATGACAGCACCTTTCAAAGCTGGAGAAATTGCTGACCTGGAGAGCGTGCAGAGATCCTTTACTGCTAGAATCCACTCAGTAAAACATCTAAACTATTGAAACTGACTAAAGAGCCTAAATCTGTATTTCCTTGAGCGCAGGCGGGAGAGATACATAATAATTTACACGTGGAAAATATTAGATGGGCTGGTCCCAAACCTGCACACAGAAATAACATCACATGAGACCAGAAGACATGGCAGGATGTGCAGAATACCCCCGTTGAAGAGCAGAGGTGCAACAGGTACTCTGAGAGAGAACTCTATCAACATCAGAGGCCCGAGACTGTTCAACACGCTTCCACTACACATAAGGGACATAACTGGCCGACCCCTCACAGTGTTCAAGAGAGAACTATCAACATCAGAGGCCCGAGACTGTTCAACACGCTTCCACTACACATAAGGGACATAACTGGCCGACCCCTCACAGTGTTCAAGAGAGAACTATCAACATCAGAGGCCCGAGACTGTTCAACACGCTTCCACTACACATAAGGGACATAACTGGCCGACCCCTCACAGTGTTCAAGAGAGAACTATCAACATCAGAGGCCCGAGACTGTTCAACACGCTTCCACTACACATAAGGGACATAACTGGCCGACCCCTCACAGTGTTCAAGAGAGAACTATCAACATCAGAGGCCCGAGACTGTTCAACACGCTTTCACTACACATAAGGGACATAACTGGCCGACCCCTCACAGTGTTCAAGAGAGAACTATCAACATCAGAGGCCCGAGACTGTTCAACACGCTTCCACTACACATAAGGGACATAACTGGCCGACCCCTCACAGTGTTCAAGAGAGAACTATCAACATCAGAGGCCCGAGACTGTTCAACACGCTTCCACTACACATAAGGGACATAACTGGCCGACCCCTCACAGTGTTCAAGAGAGAACTATCAACATCAGAGGCCCGAGACTGTTCAACACGCTTCCACTACACATAAGGGACATAACTGGCCGACCCCTCACAGTGTTCAAGAGAGAACTATCAACATCAGAGGCCCGAGACTGTTCAACACGCTTCCACTACACATAAGGGACATAACTGGCCGACCCCTCACAGTGTTCAAGAGAGAACTATCAACATCAGAGGCCCGCCCCCCTCACCCTCACAGCCGGCGTGGCGACGCCTCCACAACACATAACCCTGCAACAGTCAACACTTAATATGGCCAGTTGATGACCTTATTATATGCTGTCATACGCTAGCTGGCACAGTAGGTAAATATTAGACACCTTCCTCAACAAGCAAGGTGGGGGGGGGTAACTAGCAGGGTACAGAAGGTGGGGGTAACTAGCAGGATACAGAAGGTGGGGGTAACTAGCAGGGTACAGAAGGTGGGGGTAACTAGCAGGGTACAGAAGGTGGGGGTAACTAGCAGGGTACAGAAGGTGGGGGTAACTAGCAGGGTACAGAAGGTGGGGGTAACTAGCAGGATACAGAAGGTGGGGGTAACTAGCAGGATACAGAAGGTGGGGGTAACTAGCAGGGTACAGAAGGTGGGGGTAACTAGCAGGATACAGAAGGTGGGGGTAACTAGCAGGATACAGAAGGTGGGGGTAACTAGCAGGGTACAGAAGGTGGGGGTAACTAGCAGGATACAGAAGGTGGGGGTAACTAGCAGGGTACAGAAGGTGGGGGTAACTAGCAGGATACAGAAGGTGGGGGTAACTAGCAGGATACAGAAGGTGGGGGTAACTAGCAGGGTACAGAAGGTGGGGGTAACTAGCAGGATACAGAAGGTGGGGGTAACTAGCAGGGTACAGAAGGTGGGGGTAACTAGCAGGATACAGAAGGTGGGGGTAACTAGCAGGATACAGAAGGTGGGGGTAACTAGCAGGATACAGAAGGTGGGGGTAACTAGCAGGGTACAGAAGGTGGGGGTAACTAGCAGGATACAGAAGGTGGGGGTAACTAGCAGGATACAGAAGGTGGGGGTAACTAGCAGGGTACAGAAGGTGGGGGTAACTAGCAGGATACAGAAGGTGGGGGTAACTAGCAGGGTACAGAAGGTGGGGGTAACTAGCAGGATACAGAAGGTGGGGGTAACTAGCAGGATACAGAAGGTGGGGGTAACTAGCAGGATACAGAAGGTGGGGGTAACTAGCAGGATACAGAAGGTGGGGGTAACTAGCAGGGTACAGAAGGTGGGGGTAACTAGCAGGATACAGAAGGTGGGGGTAACTAGCAGGGTACAGAAGGTGGGGGTAACTAGCAGGGTACAGAAGGTGGGGGTAACTAGCAGGGTACAGAAGGTGGGGGTAACTAGCAGGATACAGAAGGTGGGGGTAACTAGCAGGATACAGAAGGTGGGGGTAACTAGCAGGATACAGAAGGTGGGGGTAACTAGCAGGATACAGAAGGTGGGGGTAACTAGCAGGATACAGAAGGTGGGGGTAACTAGCAGGATACAGAAGGTGGGGGTAACTAGCAGGGTACAGAAGGTGGGGGTAACTAGCAGGGTACAGAAGGTGGGGGTAACTAGCAGGGTACAGAAGGTGGGGTAACTAGCAGGATACAGAAGGTGGGGGTAACTAGCAGGATACAGAAGGTGGGGGTAACTAGCAGGATACAGAAGGTGGGGGTAACTAGCAGGATACAGAAGGTGGGGGTAACTAGCAGGGTACAGAAGGTGGGGGTAACTAGCAGGGTACAGAAGGTGGGGGTAACTAGCAGGATACAGAAGGTGGGGGTAACTAGCAGGATACAGAAGGTGGGGGTAACTAGCAGGATACAGAAGGTGGGGGTAACTAGCAGGATACAGAAGGTGGGGGTAACTAGCAGGGTACAGAAGGTGGGGGTAACTAGCAGGGTACAGAAGGTGGGTGTAACTAGGAGGGTACAGAAGGTGGGAGTAACTAGCAGGGTACAGGGGAGGTGTAGAGCAGGAGTGACTTACAGATAGAGCCGTAGAGTGCCTGAGGAGAGAGAGCAGCAGCGCCACACACACCACCACCACCAACACTGCCAGCACCGCCACCAACACTGTCACAACACAAAATAACACATCAGAATCATCATATAACCGCAAACAACAAGGTTGTACACAGCAAATCTAAATGTTAAAAATACTTATTTAGAAGGATTTATTCAATGTTGTCCCCTCGATCATACATAAACTATACAGCCATAAATATACACAGCTTCTCCATGTATACAGTTTACTTTAGTCCTGGTGACTTACAGGATAATGTTGAGGACTAAAGTGTACTTGTAGACTAGTTAGTATAGGCTGTTGTGGCGGCCTTAACAACCCTCCCCTATAACATGGAACGAAAAGGCAATGTAAAGGACCTGGGTGTACTCATGTCGGAAGACTTTACCTTTAAAGAACACAATAAAGTAGCCGTCACAACTGCAAGAAAAATGACAGGTTGGATAACAAGAACTTTTCACACTAGAGATGATATACCGATGATGATACTTTTCAAAACGCTTGTGCTCTCTAGAGTGGAGTACTGCTGCACAATGACAGCACCTTTCAAAGCTGGAGAAATTGCTGACCTGGAGAGCGTGCAGAGATCCTTTACTGCTAGAATCCACTCAGTAAAACATCTAAACTATTGAGACCGACTAAAGAGCCTAAATCTGTATTCCCTTGAGCGCAGGCGGGAGAGATACATAATAATTTACACAGTCCCAAACCTGCACACAGAAATAACACCACATGAGACCAGAAGACATGGCAGGATGTGCAGAATACCCCCGTTGAAGAGCAGAGGTGCAACAGGTACTCTGAGAGAGAACTCTATCAACATCAGAGGCCCGAGACTGTTCAACACGCTTCCACTACACATAAGGGACATAACTGGCCGACCCCTCACAGTGTTCAAGAGAGAACTATCAACATCAGAGGCCCGAAACTGTTCAACACGCTTCCACTACACATAAGGGACATAACTGGTCGACCCCTCACAGTGTTCAAGAGAGAACTATCAACATCAGAGGCCCGAGACTGTTCAACACGCTTCCACTACACATAAGGGACATAACTGGTCGACCCCTCACAGTGTTCAAGAGAGAACTATCAACATCAGAGGCCCGAGACTGTTCAACACGCTTCCACTACACATAAGGGACATAACTGGCCGACCCTTCACAGTGTTCAAGAGAGAACTATCAACATCAGAGGCCCGAGACTGTTGAACACGCTTCCACTACACATAAGGGACATAACTGGCCGACCCCTCACAGTGTTCAAGAGAGAACTGGATAAACACCTCCAAAGGATACCTGATCAACCAGGCTCATACGTCAGGCTAGGAGCAGCCGCGTCCAACAGCCTGGTTGACCAGTTCAGCAACCAGGAGACGTGGCCAGAGAACGGGCCGCGGGGACCTTGACCCCCGGAATCGCTGCAAGGAAAGACAAGGTGACCCCCACCTGGTGCCGTCTTGTCATAAATACTTAAGTGACCCCCAGAGGTTGAGAGGTCTGGAGTCCAACATCAAGGAGAGGGTCGTCAGGCAACCTGTCCTCTTACAACGAACGTCGCTTCTCGCTCGTAGGCGTTACATAAGGCCAAAATTTGTCGCACTAGAATATGGAAGAGGCTGGCAAAAGTGAGGTACTGTTCCGTTTTCTGTTTTGGGTCCTCTGGTGGGTTAGGAGAGACCACTATAAAGTGACCATTTTCTTCACGTTGGCAAACTTTAAGAGGACGAACTGCTTCAGTAAGAGGGACTAAGCTAATGTATCCTGCTGCTGACGACATATTCGTAATAGCAAAAGATCAGGAAGAACTAATTAGTGTACAAAGCCATCCAGAGAGAGAGTGAGTCAGCACTCTGATTTACCCATGAAAATAGTGGATTTTTTTTTTTTGGGGGGGGGGGGAGATATGTAGAAGAGTTGTTACATTCTTGTACAGCCACTAGTACGCGTAGCGTTTCGGGCAGGTCCCTGGAATACGATCCCCGCCGCGAAGAATCGTTGTTACAACCAAGTACACATTTTACTGTTGACTTAAACAGAGGCTACAGTTAAGGATTTGCGCCCAGTAAATCCTCCCCGGCCAGGATACGAACCCATGACAAAGCGCTCGCGGAACGTCAGGCGAGTGTCTTACCACTACACCACGGAGACTGTATAAATAAATAACAGTCTGCCATTCCTGGATGTACTAATAACAAAAACAGGAGCCACTGTAAGCTCCAGCTTGTATACTAAGCCTACCAACATAGGATTATGCCTAAACGGTAGACGTGAGTGCCCCCAAAGATACAAAGCCAGTGTTATCAACTCTTATATTCGTCGAGCGTTTTATGTCAACCGTTGTACATATGTACACCTTCCCACCACGAAGGTTGAAGCCTTATATCTAAGTTCACCCTGAACGCGTTTTCGGCTAAATTCGCCTTCATCAGAGCAGGGATGAATGCTGAGCAATGGTATATGGAGTGAGCCATGTGTGTGGTGGGAGAGAGTGGGGTGGGCCACACACCTGACATGGGGTGGACCCTGTATGTGGTGGGAGAGAGTGGGGTGGGCCACACACCTGACATGGGGTGGACCATGTATGTGGTGGGAGAGAGTGGGGTGGGCCACACACCTGACATGGGGTGGACCCTGTATGTGGTGGGAGAGAGTGGGGTGGGCCACACACCTGACATGGGGTGGACCATGTATGTGGTGGGAGAGAGTGGGGTGGGCCACACACCTGACATGGGGTGGACCCTGTATGTGGTGGGAGAGAGTGGGGTGGGCCACACACCTGACATGGGGTGGACCATGTATGTGGTGGGAGAGAGTGGGGTGGGCCACACACCTGACATGGGGTGGACCCTGTATGTGGTGGGAGAGAGTGGGGTGGGCCACACACCTGACATGGGGTGGACCATGTATGTGGTGGGAGAGAGTGGGGTGGGCCACACACCTGACATGGGGTGGACCCTGTATGTGGTGGGAGAGAGTGGGGTGGGCCACACACCTGACATGGGGTGGACCATGTATGTGGTGGGAGAGAGTGGGGTGGGCCACACACCTGACATGGGGTGGACCCTGTATGTGGTGGGAGAGAGTGGGGTGGGCCACACACCTGACATGGGGTGGGCCTCGTCCTGGGGTCTCACGGGCAGCTGGTGGGCCACATATACAGTGCTAGTGTTGTTTTTCTTCTTATTTGTGAACTCCAGAATCTTGGACCGGCCAGTCTTCCACACCTGACTCCTTAGCCGCTCCCCGTTCCCCAGGATCTGGGGGAGGCACGCACAGGTTACTGGGGGAGACACGGGTTACTGGGGGAGACACAGGTTACTAGGGGGAGACACAGGTTACTGGGGGAGACACAGGTTACTGGGGGAGACACAGGTTACTGGAGGAGACACAGGTTACTGGGGGAGACACAGGTTACTGGGGGAGACACAGGGTACTGGAGGAGACACAGGTTACTGGGGGGAGACACAGGTTACTGGGGGAGACACAGGTTACTGGGGGAGAGACACAGGTTACTGGGGGAGAGACACAGGTTACTGGAGGAGAGACACAGGTTACTGGAGGAGAGACACAGGTTACTGGAGGAGAGACACAGGTTACTGGGGGAGACACAGGTTACTGGGGGAGACACAGGTTACTGGGGGGGAGACACAGGTTACTGGGGGGGAGACACAGGTTACTGGGGGAGACACAAGTTACTGGGGGAGACACAGGGTACTGGGGGAGACACAGGTTACTGGGGGAGACACAGGTTACTGGGGGAGACACAGGTTACTGGGGGAGACACAGGTTACTGGGGGAGACACAGGTTACTGGGGGAGACACAGGTTACTGGGGGAGACACAGGTTACTGGGGGAGACACAGGTTACTGGGGGAGACACAGGTTACTGGGGGAGACACAGGTTACTGGGGGAGACACAGGTTACTGGGGGAGACACAGGTTACTGGGGGAGACACAGGTTACTGGGGGAGACACAGGTTACTGGGGGAGACACAGGTTACTGGGGGAGACACAGGGTACTGGAGGAGACACAGGGTACTGGGGGAGACACAGGTTACTGGAGGAGACACAGGTTACTGGGGGAGACACAGGTTACTGGGGGAGACACAGGGTACTGGGGGGACACAGGTTACTGGGGGAGAGACAGGTTACTGGGGGAGAGACACAGGTTACTGGGGGAGACACAGGTTACTGGGGGAGACACAGGTTACTGGGGGAGACACAGGTTACTGGAGGAGACACAGGTTACTGGGGGAGACACAGGTTACTGGGGGAGACACAGGGTACTGGAGGAGACACAGGGTACTGGGGGAGACACAGGTTACTGGGGGAGACACAGGTTACTGGGGGAGACACAGGGTACTGGGGGAGACACAGGGTACTGGGGGAGACACAGGGTACTGGAGGAGACACAGGTTACTGGGGGAGACACAGGTTACTGGGGGAGACACAGGTTACTGGGGGAGACACAGGTTACCGGGGGAGACACAGGTTACTGGGGGAGACACAGGTTACTGGGGGAGACACAGGTTACTGGGGGAGACACAGGGTACTGGAGGAGACACAGGGTACTGGGGGAGACACAGGTTACTGGAGGAGACACAGGTTACTGGGGGAGACACAGGTTACTGGGGGAGACACAGGGTACTGGGGGGGACACAGGTTACTGGGGGAGACACAGGTTACTGGGGGGAGACACAGGTTACTGGGGGAGACACAGGTTACTGGGGGAGACACAGGTTACTGGGGGAGACACAGGTTACTGGGGAGAGACACAGGTTACTGGAGGAGACACAGGTTACTGGGGGAGAGACACAGGTTACTGGGGGGAGACACAGGTTACTGGGGGAGACACAGGTTACTGGGGGAGACACAGGTTACTGGGGGAGACACAGGTTACTGGGGGAGACACAGGTTACTGGGGGAGACACAGGTTACTGGGGGAGACACAGGTTACTGGGGGAGACACAGGTTACTGGGGGAGACACAGGTTACTGGGGGAGACACAGGTTACTGGGGGAGACACAGGTTACTGGGGGAGACACAGGTTACTGGGGGAGACACAGGTTACTGGGGGAGACACAGGGTACTGGGGGAGACACAGGGTACTGGGGGAGACACAGGGTACTGGGGGAGACACAGGGTACTGGGGGAGACACAGGGTACTGGAGGAGACACAGGTTACTGGGGGAGACACAGGTTACTGGGGGAGACACAGGTTACTGGGGGAGACACAGGTTACTGGGGGAGACACAGGTTACTGGGAGAGACACAGGTTACTGGGGGAGACACAGGGTACTGGGGGAGACACAGGGTACTGGGGGAGACACAGGGTACTGGGGGAGACACAGGTTACTGGGGGAGACACAGGTTACTGGGGGAGAGACACAGGTTACTGGGGGAGACACAGGTTACTGGGGGAGACACAGGGTACTGGGGGAGACACAGGTTACTGGGGGAGACACAGGTTACTGGGGTGTCTCCCAGCAAACCCTGGCTACATAGTGAGACACATGCCCAACATGAAGGAGTATCGTGCCTGATAGTCTGTGTCTGAGAGGATGAAGTGGAGGTTGAGGGGGAGGTGGGCCTTGAGGCCTCTGGAGGCCGGACACTTGCGGCCCTTGTGGAGGTAGGGAGCCTCGCCGGCCTGCAGGCACAGGAAGAGTGTCTCCTGGTCGAACCTCAGCGCCAGGAATTCCACCTCCTCGGAGGACACGATGCTGAACCTCTCGCTCTCTCCCACCTCAAATGTCACCGACTTGTCACTGGGCGTCAGCCTCCAGATGGACTTGCCTCCACAAACAGAGAAATGAAGACATATATACGTCCATATACCCGGTATTTATGTAAGTATATATAAGAAGGTGAATAAGGTTTGCATCAAGAGCAACATGTTGTCAATATTACACTTGTAAAGTACATTGATAAACAGGCAAACATTTGCCGTTACAAATGCTTGCATCTAAGTTTCAAACCAGTTAAACGTGTCATTAATTAAGGCGCCGGCGGCCCCGGGCGTAGTGGTGAGGACATTGAGAGTTACCTTGCGGGCAGTGCGTGAGAGCGAGTACATTGTTCATAACCAGGAATGTTGGTGGCGTGAGCGGGGCGCAGGCTGTGCTGAGAGCAGGGCGACCTGCCACCCTCAGCTCCAAGCGCGGGTACAGGACCAGGGTGGCGGGAGTCCACATCACAGGCAAGGGGTCCAAACTGCTGCCCAGTGTGACGTTCAGGGTACAGTTGGCCTTGGGCCCGGGAGCCACCACCTGCAGCCTCTGGTCCAGCGGCTCCGCTAACAGCATCGTCACCGTCCTCTCAAACACTGTGCGCCGTAAACCACGCTCCACCACACAGCCTGTAACACAACCACCTCCTTACTGCCTGTCCTCAAGCAACATTGGTGATACTGTAATAGATTACAAGATAGATCGCTGTATTCTAAGTAGGTAGTGATCGATGTCAACAATGACAGGTGTGAAGACATCCACAAATTATTAATTAACGAGTGTAGAGCACAAGCAAAACAATTTGTCGGAAATGAGCTCATGAAGAAATAAAGCTGAATGTGTGGCGGATGATGCAATAAGCAGTCGACCATCCGAGCGACTCGTCGACTTCCTTTGGTTATGATAGCAGTGTTGGCATTTATAACCCCATTAAGTCATCCGGAATGTGACCAACTGACTACTGTACCCAAGACTACTAAATAAATATGAAAGTCCACTAAACACTATATATCTAATAGACCCAGCAATGTAACACAGTTATACGTCACAGTGTCTTAAGTATTAACATTGGGGAGCACAAGATACACTGAGAATAGGAAGCACTCAGCAGGACATTGTGAGGATGCAATTCTTGGATAAAATTCTCCTGAATAAACATTTGATTTTTATTTGGTTTTACTCTTGAATTGAACTTTTTACATAGGTTCGACAAATGTTTAATTCACTAAGGAATGAGTTCCATAGACCGAGTCTTTTATTTGCCTGAAGTGTTTGTACAGCTTTAGTCTGACTCTGGGGATATCAAACATATATTAAGAACAACATAAGAATGAGGGTAACTGCAGGAGGCCTATTGGCCCATACGAGGCAGCTCCTCTTTATAACCACCCAATATCACGTGATTGGTTCCACAAATCAACAAACCTGTTACTGATCCTGTATTTACCCAGGTCTTTCCTCAATCTAAACTTATCCAATTTATACCAATTGGTTCGTGTTCTGTCTTGTGTTGATACTTTAAATACCCTTGAGGGAGCCGGTCGGCCGAGCGGACAACACGCTGGACTTGTGATCCTGGGTTCGATCCCAGGCGCCGGCGAGAAACAATAGGCAGAGTTTCTTTCACCCTATGCCCTTGTTACCTAGCAGTAAATAGGTACCTGGGTGTTAGTCAACTGTCACGGGCTGCTTCCTGGTGGGTGGAGGCCTGGTCGAGGACCGGGCCGTGGGGACACTAAAAGTCCCGAAATCATCTCAAGATAACCCTATTAATATCCCCTTTGCCCTCTTGTCCACCCTAATTGACGCTAATGGTCTCTAATTGTCATGTCAACTCTAATTGCCGTGATGATATTACTATAGATAAAACCTTCGACCTTACCATCTGTCCAGTCTTGGGAGTGGACGCTGCAGGCGACGGTTACTGTAGCCAGCACCACCCTAATGACTCCGGCCATTTGGTCCTCTTCCCTTAAGCCTGCGAGTACTGTCTCCTCCAAGACTGTGGAGTGGTCCTCCAAGACTGTGAAGTGGTCCTCCAAGACTGTGAAGTGGTCCTCCAAGACTGTGAAGTGGTCCTCCAAGACTGTGAAGTGGTCCTCCAAGACTGTGGAGTGGTCCTCCAAGACTGTGGAGTGGTCCTCCAAGACTGTGGAGTGGTCCTCCAAGACTGTGTGGTAAGTGGTCCTCCAAGACTGTGTGGTAAGTGGTCCTCCAAGACTGTGAAGTGGTCCTCCAAGACTGTGAAGTGGTCCTCCAAGACTGTGAAGTGGTCCTCCAAGACTGTGAAGTGGTCCTCGAAGACTGTGTGGAGTGGTCCTCCAAGACTGTGGAGTGGTCCTCCAAGACTGTGAAGTGGTCCTCCAAGACTGTGTGGTAAGTGGTCCTCCAAGACTGTGTGGTAAGTGGTCCTCCAAGACTGTGAAGTGGTCCTCCAAGACTGTGAAGTGGTCCTCCAAGACTGTGAAGTGGTCCTCCAAGACTGTGAAGTGGTCCTCCAAGACTGTGAAGTGGTCCTCCAAGACTGTGGAGTGGTCCTCCAAGACTGTGGAGTGGTCCTCCAAGACTGTGAAGTGGTCCTCCAAGACTGTGGAGTGGTCCTCCAAGACTGTGAAGTGGTCCTCCTAGACTGTGTGGTAAGTGGTCCTCCAAGACTGTGGAGTGGTCCTCCAAGACTGTGGAGTGGTCCTACAAGACTGTGGAGTGGTCCTCCAAGACTGTGAAGTGGTCCTCCAAGACTGTGAAGTGGTCCTCCAAGACTGTGGAGTGGTCCTCCAAGACTGTGAAGTGGTCCTCCAAGACTGTGGAGTGGTCCTCCAAGACTGTGGAGTGGTCCTCCAAGACTGTGAAGTGGTCCTCCAAGACTGTGGAGTGGTCCTCCAAGACTGTGGAGTGGTCCTCCAAGACTGTGGAGTGGTCCTCCAAGACTGTGAAGTGGTCCTCCAAGACTGTGAAGTGGTCCTCCAAGACTGTGAAGTGGTCCTCCAAGACTGTGGAGTGGTCCTCCAAGACTGTGAAGTGGTCCTCCAAGACTGTGGAGTGGTCCTCCAAGACTGTGGAGTGGTCCTCCAAGACTGTGAAGTGGTCCTCCAAGACTGTGAAGTGGTCCTCCAAGACTGTGGAGTGGTCCTCCAAGACTGTGAAGTGGTCCTCCAAGACTGTGGAGTGGTCCTCCAAGACTGTGGAGTGGTCCTCCAAGACTGTGAAGTGGTCCTCCAAGACTGTGAAGTGGTCCTCCAAGACTGTGGAGTGGTCCTCCAAGACTGTGAAGTGGTCCTCCAAGACTGTGAAGTGGTCCTCCAAGACTGTGAAGTGGTCCTCCAAGACTGTGGAGTGGTCCTCCAAGACTGTGAAGTGGTCCTCCAAGACTGTGAAGTGGTCCTCCAAGACTGTGAAGTGGTCCTCCAAGACTGTGGAGTGGTCCTCCAAGACTGTGGAGTGGTCCTCCAAGACTGTGAAGTGGTCCTCCAAGACTGTGAAGTGGTCCTCCAAGACTGTGAAGTGGTCCTCCAAGACTGTGGAGTGGTCCTCCAAGACTGTGAAGTGGTCCTCCAAGACTGTGGAGTGGTCCTCCAAGACTGTGGAGTGGTCCTCCAAGACTGTGAAGTGGTCCTCCAAGACTGTGAAGTGGTCCTCCAAGACTGTGAAGTGGTCCTCCAAGACTGTGGAGTGGTCCTACAAGACTGTGAAGTGGTCCTCCAAGACTGTGAAGTGGTCCTACAAGACTGTGGAGTGGTCCTCCAAGACTGTGAAGTGGTCCTCCAAGACTGTGGAGTGGTCCTACAAGACTGTGAAGTGGTCCTCCAAGACTGTGAAGTGGTCCTACAAGACTGTGGAGTGGTCCTACAAGACTGTGGAGTGGTCCTACAAGACTGTGAAGTGGTCCTACAAGACTGTGAAGTGGTCCTCCAAGACTGTGGAGTGGTCCTCCAAGACTGTGGAGTGGTCCTCCAAGACTGTGGAGTGGTCCTACAAGACTGTGAAGTGGTCCTCCAAGACTGTGAAGTGGTCCTCCAAGACTGTGAAGTGGTCCTACAAGACTGTGGAGTGGTCCTCCAAGACTGTGGAGTGGTCCTCCAAGACTGTGGAGTGGTCCTCCAAGACTGTGGAGTGGTCCTACAAGACTGTGAAGTGGTCCTCCAAGACTGTGAAGTGGTCCTCCAAGACTGTGAAGTGGTCCTCCAAGACTGTGGAGTGGTCCTCCAAGACTGTGAAGTGGTCCTCCAAGACTGTGAAGTGGTCCTCCAAGACTGTGAAGTGGTCCTCCAAGACTGTGAAGTGGTCCTCCAAGACTGTGGAGTGGTCCTCCAAGACTGTGAAGTGGTCCTCCAAGACTGTGAAGTGGTCCTCCAAGACTGTGAAGTGGTCCTCCAAGTCGGTGTGGTAAGTGGTCCTCCAAGACTGTGGAGTGGTCCTCCAAGACTGTGAAGTGGTCCTCCAAGACTGTGGAGTGGTCCTCCAAGACTGTGAAGTGGTCCTCCAAGACTGTGGAGTGGTCCTCCAAGACTGTGTGGTAAGTGGTCCTCCAAGACTGTGTGGTAAGTGGTCCTCCAAGACTGTGTGGTAAGTGGTCCTCCAAGACTGTGTGGTAAGTGGTCCTCCAAGACTGTGGAGTGGTCCTCCAAGACTGTGGAGTGGTCCTCCAAGACTGTGAAGTGGTCCTCCAAGACTGTGTGGTAAGTGGTCCTCCAAGACTGTGAAGTGGTCCTCCAAGACTGTGGAGTGGTCCTCCAAGACTGTGAAGTGGTCCTCCAAGACTGTGGAGTGGTCCTCCAAGACTGTGGAGTGGTCCTCCAAGACTGTGAAGTGGTCCTCCAAGACTGTGTGGTAAGTGGTCCTCCAAGACTGTGAAGTGGTCCTCCAAGACTGTGTGGTAAGTGGTCCTCCAAGACTGTGGAGTGGTCCTCCAAGACTGTGGAGTGGTCCTCCAAGACTGTGAAGTGGTCCTCCAAGACTGTGTGGTAAGTGGTCCTCCAAGACTGTGAAGTGGTCCTCCAAGACTGTGTGGTAAGTGGTCCTCCAAGACTGTGGAGTGGTCCTCCAAGTCGGTGTGGTAAGTGGTCCTCCAAGACTGTGTGGTAAGTGGTCCTCCAAGACTGTGGAGTCAAGTGGTCCAAGAGAGCACGACTAAGAGCCCAGTAAGGCGGCGTCGCTGCAGTAAGGACAAGTTACCAGCCTCCTCCACCACGGCCGGCTACGCACTATCTTCCCCCAGGTCCTCACGCCAGCCTCCTCCACCACGGCCGGCTACGCACTATCTTCCCCCAGGTCCTCACGCCAGCCTCCTCCACCACGGCCGGCTACGCACTATCTTCCCCCAGGTCCTCACGCCAGCCTCCTCCACCACGGCCGGCTACGCACTATCTTCCCCCAGGTCCTCACGCCAGCCTCCTCCACCACGGCCGGCTACGCACTATCTTCCCCCAGGTCCTCACGCCAGCCTCCTCCACCACGGCCGGCTACGCACTATCTTCCCCCAGGTCCTCACGCCAGCCTCCTCCACCACGGCCGGCTACGCACTATCTTCCCCCAGGTCCTCACGCCAGCCTCCTCCACCACAGCCGGCTACGCACTATCTTCCCCCAGGTCCTCACGCCAGCCTCCTCCACCACGGCCGGCTACGCACTATCTTCCCCCAGGTCCTCACGCCAGCCTCCTCCACCACGGCCGGCTACGCACTATCTTCCCCCAGGTCCTCACGCCAGCCTCCTCCACCACGGCCGGCTACGCACTATCTTCCCCCAGGTCCTCACGCCAGAACCACTCGCTGCTTCCTGTCGCCACCGACACAATGTTGTTAAGACAATGTTGTTGTGTAAGGCGATACCGTCGTGCCTGTGTGTACCAACCAGTCTAGCGCAGTCTACCATCCGCCGGACGTCCGCCCGCCACCCTAAACCACATGGATAACTAACATAAACCTCCGTTATAATAACGCCTCAAACATAAACGTTATATTGACCAGACCACACACTAGAAATTAAAGGGACGACGACGTTTCGGTCCGTCCTGGACCATTCTCAAGTCGATTGTGAGAACCTGGACCATTCACAATCGACTTGAGAATGGTCCAGGACGGACCGAAACGTCGTCGTCCCTTCAATTTCTAGTGTGTGGTCTGGTCAACATACTTCAGCCACGTTATTGTGACTCATCGCCTGCAAACGTTATATACAAGAAAAACGTTTCGCTTATAAGCTGTTGTGAGCGAAACGTTGCACCTAAACGAGACTGAAGGATGCCTACTATATGACTGCACCTCACCTCATCGTCTTCCAATAGGTTGAAAGGAATGTTAACTGTAAATAGTGAAGAGGTACAAGTTTCGTCATTAGTGCTAACTAGAGTTGTGTTACTCTCATTAAACTAATGAGTTTGGAGCGAGTATATTGTCTACATAATATACTCACTACAGAGGGAACTCTTGACGATTTTGTATTTATTTATATTCATATACAAAAGTTGTTATATTCTTTGAAATTGAAATTGAATTAAGTTTATTGATGTAAAATACACACAAAGGGATGAGGTAGCTCAAGCTATTCTCACCCCGTTCAGTACATCGTGTTAATACATACATAGACACACATCACAAACAATAAACATATTACCAAACATTCTGAGAGGTAAACATATACATTTCCTCCTTCACAAGTAGTATGGTATCAGACGTACACACAAATACTTTTATGACCGAGGTATACTGTATAGACAGTTTGCAAGAGACATGCAGATAATTCAACAAAATATTACAGTCTTGGTGCAAAATTCTTATATCTCTCAAGAATATCATCAACCTTTCCTTTGTGACACATCCAGGCTATTTGTTCAGGAACAGTCCTTATCTCAGTGTTTCTATATACATTAATCAACGGACAATCAAGAACATAATGGGCCAGGGTGTGAGACCTTAACATACCACATAGTTTACACTTCGTGTCATTATCATGAACACCTATCCCATATTCCCAGTAATATTTGTACCCAAGCCTGAGCCGCATGTACACAGAGTCACTCCAAGCATTTCTCCTTTTACCATAAGTGAAATGGGTGTTTTGACTCACATACATGTAGTGTTGAATGGTTTGGCTTCTCTCATACATTATCTCTCTCCTCTCCACTCCTGCCTGTGCCTGAAT